GGGAAAGGGGTGTTTTATTGTTTTCCTGCGGTAATCATCAGGCAGTGCAGTGGGCACTGGGCACAGATCATGTTCAGTCAGTGACCACGCCTCCTTGAGCTGCCTGCCACATTGTGGTGTGGACAGGAAGCAGATATAAGGTGTGCTGCGTGCAAGATATTTCCGGCCCCAAGTACAGCATTCTGCCTGCATGTCAGAAACATAAACGTCTACTGTGAAAACGTGTCACCAGAGGAGCAGGCTGTTAGAGTTTAGAATGTCCTGCCTTCTCACTCACAAAGTTCAGAGACTGACACATATTTATGGCTCATAACTAACACTGAGGGAGCGCCGACTGTCAGAGGGTCGGTGCTGAGGGAGCTCCGCACTGTCGGAGGGTCAGTGCTGAGGGAGCGTCGCAGTGTTGGAGGGTCAGTGCTGAGGGCGTGCCGCAATGTCGGAGGGTCAGTGCTGAGGGAGGGCAGCACTGTCGGAGGGTCAGTACTGTGGGAGCGCCGCACTGTCGGAGGGTCAGCGCTCAGGGAGTGCCGTACTGTCGGAGGGTCAGTGCTGAGGGAGCGTCGCACTGTCGGAGGGTCAGTGCTGAGGGAGCACCGCACTATCAGAGGGTCAGTGCTGAGGAAGTGCCGGACTATCGGAGGGTCAATGCTGAGGAGTGCTGAGCAGTCGGAGGGTCAGTGTTGAATTTGGGAAACAAAAACTTGCACAAATAATGTGTGCCTCAAAATCAATGGATATCTCAAAGTTCTTTACAGACAAATGAGTAATTTTACAATATAGGGACTGTTGTAATTTTGGAAATGAGGCAGCTGATCTTTGCACAGCGAGAATTAACAATTGATAATGTGATAAAATCAGACAATCCATGTGCAGTGATGTAGGTTGAAGAGTAAATATTGGGAAGGACTGATGGCACATTCCATTCTGATGCAGTGCTGCACTTCAGTGGCATTCAGTACAAACCCAGTGCCGCACTGTTGGAGGTTCAGTACTAACACAGCGCCGTACTGTTGGAGGTTC